CTAAGACAACAAGGTGGATGCATTGTCTAGGGGGTTGAGATCAGGGCAGCATGTAAAAAACCAGGTGGTGATCAAGCTGCCAGCAGATCTTGAGGACATACTTGAACAGGTTGTGTTTAAGATTTAAATTGTTAAATTGTCTTTGTTTCTTTACCCATACTTGCAGTTCCGCTCTTCTCTTCTGGCTGCCTTTTCTCTCCGTGAGAAATTTGTTCATCCTTTTACACCAATGCCTTGCGTCAGGCAACTTGACACATTCTCGTCAATAATAGACTTTACATCAAGTGGTTTGATCCTAAAGACTCCAACCGCTTTAGATAGGCACATGTTGAACGGTTGGTCACCATCCACCTTGCAAAGCTACAACTCGGCTGTAAGGAAATTTTGACAGTGTAAAGGGCCTGTGGTCATTCTAATTTCAAAATGCCAGCAACAGAGGACGACATTTACGAACTCTGTTTTTGGGCGGGTAGGAAGGATGGGAAAACCTCAGGAGGCAAGGTACTCACGGTGACACTCAAGAAATATCTGCAAGGGTTGAAAGCTTGGCACCTTTTCCACAATGCACCTTACCCAACAGCCTCAGGGGCAAAAGTAACTGTGCTCCTTAAAGCATTGGCTAAGGTCAATGCCAAACACCCCAGGACGCCTCGGAAGAGGCTGGTCATGATTCATCATCTAGTTATGCCAACGAGCTATCAGGCAGGGACGAAGCCGACCTTGCGATTCTGGATTTGGCGCTGGTGACTTTCTGGAGCTTGGCAAGACTGGGTGAAGTGACGCAAGACCCGAGGAAGGGAGAGTCCCAAGGCGTATTCCCTGGCAATGTGAGGATCAGCAGCAACAATAGCTCGGCCACCATGGAACTAAAAGAATCAAAAACGGCACGCCCTGGTGAATCACAATTCCTGAAGTTGTGGAGCATGCCAAACCTTCTTTTGTCCCATTAAAGCCTTTGCGATGTAGGGCTTTGCGACTGCCAATGGGGAACAAGCGGCTGTTTCAACTTTTGTTGAACACGGCAATAGGCCGACCTCACAAAATACTTGGTACGCAAGCGACTGGACAGAGGTTTGGAAGGCAGTGGATTCCAAGGACTCTCTGGTCACTCATTCTGTGTAGGAGGAGTGTCATTCCATAACGTGTTAGGTGTCTCCACGGCGCGCATTTGTGAAATTGGCCGATGGGCCTCCACCAGCTACAAATGGTACATTAGAGAGTACTCACCATCAGGTTTATCACACGCCCTCAATTTGTTAGCAGAGTTGGATGTGCAATGGAACCTATCTGCGATTTGAATCCAGCTGTGTCAGGGGGAACTCGGGACAAAGTGTTGGGTATTTGCGCAAGGCTCAGGCTTTGACCCTGAGTTTTAGGGTTTAGCGCGTACCCCAACTCTTTTCCTCTCTGTTCCAGGAAGAAGTCCTTCCTTCTACTGTGTTTAGGCCGTCTTAGGGGTTTCCTCCTACTAGGAGGAAGGTTTCCCTAGCCAGAGGGCCTAAGGCGACCAAAGAAGGCTCTCTCCCAAGACCCTCACGCGCCAATCCTGAAAACCCCTGCAATGTCAGGGGGACCAGGATGGCTACGGATGTTTTGGAAGGGGAAACCCTGTGAAACACCCGGAAACCGTGCAGAGACGGAAAAAGTGTAGATGGATTGGAGGCCCACACACCAAAGCAGATTGGTTTTGTGGGATACTTTATGGGTACCCATCCAAACAACTTCAAAAATTTAGATTCTTCTTGTATATAAAATGAAAATACACCACATATGGCTCCAGGAATGCATTCCAGGGCCAATTTCACCCTTGAGTAGACTAGCAGGCTGGGATACATGTAACCCCTCTGTATTACATGTTACACCCCTTTCTCACCCACATGAGGTGGGGGGGTCAAGCACCTGTCAATGTTACAAGGATATCAGGTACACATGTCACCCCTCCAGGCCATGTGATTTGGTATCTGTATGTCTCAATCAAGTAAAATGGAAGTATGTAGGCACAGCATACAGGTTACCTAGGCAACCTGGCA